ATATATATATATATGGAAAATAAACACTTTTTGTTTTTGATGAGAAAAAGGTTTTAGCAAATTTTGTCCTGTTCTTGTTTTGTGTGCTAAAAATGCCATTTATTGAATGAAACTAAAGAAAAAATTTGTTTAAGGAGAATCTACAGCTGTGTTCAGATCGTCCTTTACTGTATATTTTAACATGTTGGTTTTATTACATCCTGTTTTGGTAACAAAATATTTCAAAATAATCTGATTCAATACAGTTCATACAAAACATTAAACCTTTGCGTGGGAACGCGAAACAAATAAAAATCTCCACATGTACCCTCGCGGGCTCTCTAAATTTCAAACGTTAATAGGTTTTTAAATAATTATCTGGAGCTACACAGTTGTGGCCAAAGACCTTACCCATATAAACTTTTCCATAAAGAGCGATATGTCCTGGAAAGCTTTGTTGCTCCTATCAGTCCAAATTTTCTCCCAATTTAGCTCTTTGAATGACTTCAGACACAGTGGGAGTTTATTTCCTGTGTTTTCCAGTCTGTGATATGCTGGGAAATGTTGATCATGTGTTCGAAGTAGATTGGAAGTCTCGGTTATAATCATTAACCTCATCTTACACTGACTCTAAACTCCCTCTGCTTCATCCTGAACCCCGCTGGCCTGCACTGTCAGCCTGTAATTGTGCTCAATTCATCCAAGCCTTTCTTCCGCATTCCCCCATTCCTCAGTACAGATGTGTACGCCGCATGTCTGTGTAAAAATAGCCACAAGCACTCTTCTTCTCACACACAATAATCCTCTCTTCTGCTGTGTTTCGTCTTGTTTTCATCTCCACAGCTCCCACTTTGTCATTTTTTTATCCCCTCCTCATTCTCCATCATTTTCAAAACCCTTGGGTTGAGTTTTCTTGGAAAAACCAAAACTTTAGTCTGTTTTATTTTTTTCTTGATGGATCTTCTAAAACATCTGGCAATAACCCCCCTCCCCTTCCTCCCGCTCCCCTCACACAACATGGCCACAGTGCAGAGCAGACGGGTTCCTTTGTGGACTTGTCGCGGACATTCCCTGATGAGGAGTGGCGCAAAAGGTAGAGAAGCAGAAACAGAGGGATGGGGGGTGAAAACGAAAATGGATTTCCCAGCTGTGTACACAAAGCCAGACAGAGGTGTGTGTGTGTGTGTGGGGGG